TGATCCGATGGTTTGATGATGGTGACGGTGTCCCGAGCATGATCTTGATGCTGATGAGGTTGGTGATGCTGTTGACGTTGATGGTGATGATGATGATGGTGTCCCGATGATGACGATGATGATGATGATGATGTTGATGAGGATGATGATAACGATGATAATGTCCCGATGCTGGTGATGATGTTGATGATGTTGATGATGATGAGGTAATGCTGATGATTGTGGTGATGGGGGCCCAATGATGGTGATGCTAAAAATGATGCTGTTGGTGATGAGGCCCCGATGATGGTGATGATGGGGGTAGTGATGATGATGGTGACGATGATGATGGTGTTCCGATGATGATGATGTTGATGATGATGCGTTTGCTAGTGATGGTGATGGTATCCCGATGATGACGATGCTGATGTTGATGATGTTCTCCATGAGCAGCATGCTGAGATGATGATAGTGGTGGTGTTCCGATGATGATGATGGTGTCCCGATGGTGATGATGTTGATGATGAGGATGGTGACGACGATGGTGTCCCAATGATGATGATGATGATGATGGTGATGTTGATGATGATGGTGATGAGATGATGATGATGGTGCCCTGAGGATGCTGATGATGATGGTGTTGATAACGTTGATGACGGCGATGTTGTTGATGATGATGATGACGTTGATTGTGATATCGACGGTGCTATCGATTGTTGGGCCGAATGTGAGATCGATTGTGGGATCGATAGTGGTATCGATAGTGAGATCGATTGCGAGATCGATAGTCAAATCGAGTGTGAGACCTATCGAATGAAATCGACCGAGTGATATCGAATGTGAGATCGAACGAGTGAGATCGATCGAGCGAGAGCGATGGTGAGATCGATAGTGGAGACGATAGTGAGACCGATCGAGTGAGACGTTGGTTCCCCCCCCCCAACTTGCTTATCACCCGATGGGTGGTCGTATAGGTAGTAGTATGGATGGTTGTATTATGTGGCAAAAGTGGTAGTAGTAGTAGTAGTAGTAGCAGTAGTAGTAGTAGTAGTAGTAGTAGTAGCAGTAGTGGACGCAATAGTGGCAGTAGTACCAGTAGTAGTAGTAGTAGTAGTAGTAGTAGTAGTAATACTAGTAGTAGTAGTAATACTAGTAGTAGTAGTACTAGTAGTAGTACTAGTAGGAGCAGTAGCAGTAGTAGTAGTAGTAGTAGTAGTAGTAGCAGTAGTAATCGTGGTAGGAGTGGCATTAGAAGTAGCTGTAGTAGTTGAAGTAGTAGCAGTAGTAGTAGTAGCAGCAGTTATTGTTGGAGTCGTAGTAGGACTAGTAGTAGTAGTAGTAGTAGTAGTAGTTGTAGTAGTAGTAGTAGTAGTAGTAGTAGTGGCAATAGTAGTAGCAGTAGCAGCATTAATCATACCAGTAGTAGTAGTAGTAGTAGTAGTAGTAGTAGTAGTAGAAGTAGTAGTAGTAGTAGTAGTCGTAGTAGTAGTAGTAGTAGTAGTAATGATATTACGGTGGCGGAATCGGATAAGAAACGTCTTCCTGGGACCCAGACCCTGGTGCTCTCCTCATTGTTTCAAAAAGAGGAGGGTGGCCCACGTTTGGCCGCCCATCGGTCGCGAGACCCTGGGTTCCTAATCGAAGGTCTCCTTATCAAAAACCTCCACCGTAATACGATAATTAGTAGTAGCCGTAGTAGTAGTAGCAGTAGTCGTAGTCGTAGTAGTAGTAGTAGTAGTAGTAGTAGTAAGTAGTAGTAGTAGTAGTAGTACTAGTACTAGTACTAGTACTAGTACTAGTACTAGTACTAGTAGTAGTAGTCGTAGTAGTAGTAGTAGTAGTAGTAGTAGTAGTAGTAGTAGAAGTAGTAGTAGTAGTAGTAGTAGTAGTAGTAGTAGTAGTAGTAGTTGTTGTTGTTGTTGTCGTAATAGTAGTAGTAGTAGTAGTAATAATATTATTTGGAATAGAAGAAATACCAGTAGTAGTAGTGGTAGTAGTAGTAGTCGGAGGTGGGGGGGTGAGATCGAAGTGGAACGGAGAGCCCCCCTACAGGGAAATCGGTTTCGGTTTCGTGTTCGTGCGTGCCGAACGTGCGGGCGAGGCGAAGCTGCGTGGGCGGGCGAGGAATATGTCTCCTGTAGCTGAGGCGCGGCCGGACCAAAAGTCCCCCTTCCCGCAACCGGTGCCCCGCAGTGTCCCGCCGGTGTCCCGCTCGGGGGCCGGTGGCGCGCGGTGTCCCGCCGGTGTCCCGCCGGTGTTTTGCCGGTGCCCCGATGATGACGATGATGATGATGATGATGTTGATGATGTTGACGATGATGCTGATGATGATGATGGTGATGATGATGGTGTCCCGATGATGATCATGATGATGATGTTGGTGATGTTGATGATGGTGGTGATGATGATGGTGCCCCGATGATGATGATGCTGTTGATGATGATGCTGCTGATGATGGTGATGATCAGATGGTTTGATGATGGTGACGGTGTCCCGAGCATGATCTTGATGCTGATGAGGTTGGTGATGCTGTTGACGTTGATGGTGATGATGATGATGGTGTCCCGATGATGACGATGATGTTGATGATGATGTTGATGAGGATGATGATAACGATGATAATGTCCCGATGCTGGTGATGATGTTGATGATGTTGATGATGATGAGGTAATGCTGATGATTGTGGTGATGGGGGCCCAATGATGGTGATGCTAAAAATGATGCTGTTGGTGATGAGGCCCCGATGATGGTGATGATGGGGGTAGTGATGATGATGGTGACGATGATGATGGTGTTCCGATGATGATGATGTTGATGATGATGCGTTTGCTAGTGATGGTGATGGTGTCCCGATGATGACGATGTTGATGTTGATGATGTTCTCCATGAGCAGCATGCTGAGATGATGATAGTGGTGGTGTTCCGATGATGATGATGGTGTCCCGATGGTGATGATGTTGATGATGAGGATGGTGACGACGATGGTGTCCCAATGATGATGATGATGATGATGGTGATGTTGATGATGATGGTGATGAGATGATGATGATGGTGCCCTGAGGATGCTGATGATGATGGTGTTGATAACGGTGATGACGGCGATGTTGTTGATGATGATGATGACGTTGATTGTGATATCGACGGTGCTATCGATTGTTGGGCCGAATGTGAGATCGATTGTGGGATCGATAGTGGTATCGATAGTGAGATCGATTGCGAGATCGATAGTCAGATCGAGTGTGAGACCTATCGAATGACATAGACCGAGTGATATCGAATGTGAGATCGAACGAGTGAGATCGATCGAGCGAGAGCGATGGTGAGATCGATAGTGGAGACGATAGTGAGACCGATCGAGTGAGACGTTGGTTCCCCCCCCCCAACTTGCTTATCACCCGATGGGTGGTCGTATAGGTAGTAGTATGGATGGTTGTATTATGTGGCAAAAGTGGTAGTAGTAGTAGTAGTAGTAGTAGTAGTAGCAGTAGTAGTAGTAGTAGTAGTAGTAGTAGTAGTAGCAGTAGTGGACGCAATAGTGGCAGTAGTACCAGTAGTAGTAGTAGTAGTAGTAGTAGTAGTAGTAGTAGTAGTAGTAGTAGTAGTAGTAATACTAGTAGTAGTAGTAATACTAGTAGTAGTAGTACTAGTAGTAGTACTAGTAGGAGCAGTAGCAGTAGTAGTAGTAGTAGTAGTAGTAGTAGCAGTAGTAATCGTGGTAGGAGTGGCATTAGAAGTAGCTGTAGTAGTTGAAGTAGTAGCAGTAGTAGTAGTAGCAGCAGTTATTGTTGGAGTCGTAGTAGGACTAGTAGTAGTAGTAGTAGTAGTAGTAGTAGTAGTAGTTGTAGTAGTAGTAGTAGTAGTAGTAGTAGTAGTAGTAGTGGCAATAGTAGTAGCAGTAGCAGCATTAATCATACCAGTAGTAGTAGTAGTAGTAGTAGTAGTAGTAGTAGTGGAAGTAGTAGTAGTAGTAGTAGTAATGATATTACGGTGGCGGAATCGGATAAGAAACGTCTTCCTGGGACCCAGACCCTGGTGCTCTCCTCATTGTTTCAAAAACAAGGGGGTGGCCCACGTTTGGCCGCCCATCGGTCGCGAGACCCTGGGTTCCTAATCGAAGGTCTCCTTATCAAAAACCTCCACCGTAATACGATAATTAGTAGTAGCCGTAGTAGTAGTAGCAGTAGTCGTAGTCGTAGTAGTAGTAGTAGTAGTAGTAGTAGTAGTAGTAGTAGTAGTAGTAGTAGTAGTAGTAGTAGTAGTAGTAGTAGTAGTAGTAGTAGTAGTAGTAGTAGTAGTAGTAGTAGTAGTAGTAGTAGTAGTAGTAGTAGTAGTAGTAGTAGTAGTAGTAGTAGTAGTAGTAGTAGTAGTAGTAGTAGTAGTAGTAGTAGTAGTAGTAGTAGTAGTAGTAGTAGTAGTAGTGGTAGTAGTCGTCGTCGTCGTCGTTAGTCGTAGCAGTAGTAGTAGTAGTAGTAGTAGTCGTAGTAGTAGTAGTAGTAGTCGTCGTCGTCGTCGTCGTCGTCGTCGTCGTCGTCGTCGTCGTCGTCGTCGTCGTCGTCGTCGTCGTCGTCGTCGTCGTCGTCGTCGTCGCCGTCGTCGTCGTCGTCGTAGTAGTAGTAACCGGAGTAGTAGTAATAGTAGTATGTGGAGTGAGAATGGTAGAAATAGAACTAGAAGAAGAAGTAGTAGTAGTAGTAGTAGTAGTAGTAGTTGCAGTTGTAGTTGTAGTTGTTGTAGTTGTTGTTGTTGTTGTTGTTGCTGCTGGTGTCGCTTAGTCGTAGCAGCAGTGATAGTAGCACTGAAAGTAAAGAGGAGGAGGAGGAGGAGTCGGCGGAGGAGGAGGAGGAGCAGGAAGAGGAGAGACCAGTTTTATTCACCACCGAGAGAAACAGGGGGGCATCAACACAAAATATCCTTAGGGGTTACGGCCTTCCCACCCACCCCCCTGCATACCCTGGATGGACGCTCCAGGTCGGGAGGGGCGAGCGGGGCGATCGCCAGCCGAGCGGTCGGCCGACACCAAGTTCGACCTACTCCGGCGAGGTCGTCAACGGCCTGCGCAACGGGCACGGCGAGTACACCGCCTCCGATGGCGATCGGGGGGGGATGCTGCTGCTGCCGTTGCTGCTCGGGGGGGGGGGTCTGCTGCCTGGCGCGTCGGAAGAATGCGGAGGGGTGGAGGAGATATAATTTCGTGGTGGCTCGAGCTTGAGGATCGGGCCGGACGAAGAGGGGGGAGAATATGGAACAGGGGGTGTACGAAATCTACTGCGTGCAGCATGTTTCGGCCCCGCCGCCGAGCGCTGTCCTGCTTCTGGCGTCAGGAGGCGCACGAAACAAACGACTGTGAGCTGATTGGTGAACTCCCTTTTATTGCCCCCCCGCTCGTCCGACCGAGAGGCGGAGGTCGAGCGGACGAGGAGAAGTAGTGGGAGGAAGATACGGAGGGCGAATGGGAGAAGGTGAAAGGAGGCAGTAACAAAGGAGAGACAGAAGGGGATGATGAGGAGGAGAAGCACAAGCCATTTTCCTCACACAGCTGGTAGTGGTGCCGGTCATTTGTGGGAGCGTAGTCGGATCAATCTATGGTGTCGCCTCCGAGCTTCCATAGACAAGCTTGCGTATACGTGGCTTACTATCTGCCTGTACCCTCGGCCTTTGGCCCGGTTAGCTAACTTGCCGTCCGTCTGGCTCCAGGCAGAGGGGAGGGAGCGATTGCTTGCCCACGAGCGCACGCCAGGATCCTCTGAGCCCTCGGCCATCGGAGGTGCTGCGCGGCTCCACCCGCCTGCTGTCCGTCAGGCAGGCTGCCCTGGTCGACGCACGCCTGCCGACGGGCAGGGCCTGGAGGCCCCCCACGGATTGCGGGAACCGCGCTGGGACGGAGATCCGCCAGGACCCCAGCAGGGGGCTCGCGGAGTTCGGCTTCGGCGAGAGGGCACCGGGCCCCGTCCCCAGACCCCCCGGGCGCGTGTGCGTCTGCATCGGCCCCTTCCGTGGGACTGGCTATTCACGCTGAGTCGTTCTTTGACGGTGTATTGTGGGCCAGTGAAGGGGCCCTGGAGGCAGAGAGTGGTCATGAGTTTTGCCACGACTCGGCGAGGGGACCTGCGTCTGCGGCGAGCGCGGTGAGATCTGAGATGCAGCGGACCCAGGGGTCCGGGGTGAATCAAGCCTCGCAGTTGTCATTCGAGTTCCATATTTGAAACAGCTGGATACGCCGCGCCAAGAGGTGCGCGCGGGCGAGGGCCCATCGGATCAAGCGTGCCATCAAGGACCTCAGGCATCGCTTCTGCGCGCGCGCCGACCCCGCTGAGGTCGTGGATGGATCCAAGAGGTCCCGAGAGCCGACGCAGAAGAGTCTCGGCCGAGCTCACTCTAGCAAGCGCTCACGACCGCTGACAAAGGAAGCAGTCGAGGCAATAAGGGCCACGAACAAGAGACGTCGTCTGCCCAGAAGACAGGGGACACAACGAGCCCGACAATGGCGACGACGCGGAGGTCGACTCAAGCGGAGACGACAGCGAGCGCGACAAGGACCTCAACGGCGGGCAGCCGGGCGGAGCGTCCGATAACCATTTGGCCCACAGCAGCCGCCCGAGCCCCCGAAGGTGCTCGGGGCGAAGCCTGAGGCCCGGGCAAAGGCCAAGGAACAGGCCGCCGCACCCCCGGCTAGCTCGTCGGCCGCACTGAAGATCGACGAGCAAGACACGGCCCCAGAGCTTACAGCACCGACAGAGCAGCCCGAACACAAGCTGAACTTCCTCAGGCCGAGGTACATCGGATCTGTTTGAGTTTACGTCGTGTTTGCGCATGCCGCAGGAAGCGCGTCCGCCCTGGCCCACCGTGGGAGCAGGAAGGTTTAATCACCTCTCCAGAGTGCAGCCCCCGGCGGCACGGTCGACAGGAGTGACGCGGACGTGGCCGAGGAGGGCGATGCCTCCTTCGACTTCGCCGTAAGGTTTGCAGCGCGCCGGGAGGTCACGGGCGCGAGCGCACAACCAGACGCTCTGGCGGAGCTGCCAGCTCTTCTCGACCACAATGCGCAGATGCCCAATCACAGGAATTACAGAGTCTTTCACAGGAGCATCTTACGGCCCCTGGCCCACAATCGAGGTTCCAGAAGGAGATGATCTTCAAGGGCTGCGAGGCCATCGAAGGAGTTCCAGCAGGAGACGACTACCATGCGCGGGTGGACATCGAGGACCTGGTCCACCTGCAGGATCCTCTGCAGTGGCGTCGTACGCCGCTGGCTTGCACGAGGTGCCTCGCATCCAGAAGATGCAGCAGGAATCGGCGGAGGTCGAGCCCAAGCAGTCGCAGCACGAGAGCATGCGCATTGTACGACAACAAGTGCGAGAGCTGGCTGCTGTGGAGCCCGAGAGAGACGGATGCTGGCCCACTGACGATGTGGTCCACTTGGCGCTGCAGAGCGGAGTTCAGCAGAAGCTGGGCCAGAAGGAACGCGAGCATCTGCTGGCCCACAGTCGGGATGCAGCGTGGATGAATATTTGGCAAAGATGTCGGCGGTTAGCCATCAGTGCGCGAAGTGCAACGCGCACCGCGCGTGGGCCAGCCCCCTGAAGTCACTGCCCTCCGACGACGCCGTGAAGATCGCTTAGACGTGCAACGCCGTTGACAGCGACGCCGCCAGCAATGCCCCCCATGAGTACGCCAATGACGACTACTCACCGCTCCTAGATTTCCTCATCAGGCGCGCGGAGCAGGCCGGTGAGGAATCCGAGAAGGACCCGCCTTTCGACCCGAAAGGCCCGGCGAGACTCCACCTAGCGGATCGCTTCAATAACTTCCAGAATCCACCAGCGTGGACCCTAGAAGCGCTGGAGTTTGTCGACCAGATGGACATCGCCGACCCACCAGATATCGGGGGGAATCTCCAGCGCGCGCACAAGGGGGAGAGCATGATCAACAAGGCCCGGGGGGGGCTAGTCAAGGAGGGCGAGCTGGTCATGAAAGGTTTCTGGGGCGGGCATCCTCTCTGTCCCTGAGCAGCTTGAAAAATCTCCGATGGAGGGTGAGATCGTTCTTAGACTGGCAGAGCAGTACATCAGCGCACGCTGGAAGCAAAGCTTCAAGCTCGTCAAGAAAAGAAGCCGATGTCGACAAAATTATGAGCCTCGCTTGGAAGATCTGCGTCAAGGTTCCAGTCTCGAAGGACTACGTGGTTGATACCCTGCGCCACTGCGACCGCCCTGGGCGCCATCTTATTGGCGGCTCGATATGGGACGCTAGGCTCGCTGACGGTTCCGCCTTTACTCGGGGCCACTTGCGCGACGAGGTTGGCGGCCCCTTTGAACATGGGCCGATTCAGTATCCCACAGGACAGCGGTGGCCCATATGCTCGGAAGTGATTGGCATGAGGGACACGGTGCGCGATCGAGCCCTCGCTGACTAGGAGCTCGACTTCAAGACAGCTTATCACGGTACCAATGCGGCAGCTCTTGCGTGAATTCGGGACAGTCGCGCCGCGCGTGTTCCAATGCACAGACAACGCGTTTCGGGAGTCTACTGCGAGGGCGAGCATCGCCGTGGCAGTTGTGCAGAATACGTGATCCACGTGTCCTCTGACGTCGGCCCTGAGACGAACCCTTGCTCCTGCACTTTCGAGATGCAGGTTGATCGGGGGCGCCGTGCCAACTATCCCACGCAGCATGTCCAAAGGCAACGGTGCCAATATGAAGGCAGGATGTACGTCGTGAAGCTCTGGATCCACACTGCGACGAGGAGGGAGATTTACGACAAGATCCCGGAACGTGAATCTGCTTTCGGATGGTGCAAGCTATGTAACCGGACTGTCATGATCTACCTCTCAGCGAAGGGATGCCCAGATGCTTCTGATTGCGCATGCATGCCCGGACGACCCCATCAAGGATGCCGACCTGAAGATGTCTGACATCGGATCTTTTCGCCCAGCACCCGTGCCAAAAGACGAGCGGTGGCTCCCGCAGTGGACCATCGAACTCAGCGCCGCTGCCCGCTACCTGGAGCGCACGGGCGCACCCCACTGGCCGCCCAACTCGGAGCAGCCGAGCTTCATGGCTGAGATGGGTGAGTCTGCGGGCGAATCTGGGTCTTGCCATGGTGAGATGAGCTGGTCTCCCTGGGAAGAGCTTTCCTGGTGGGTTTTCTCATTGGTTTCTGCGTTCGCGCGGCTGGAGCGGCCGCGTGTCACGCATGACCTGGGGGCGTCCTCCGAGACCAGGTTGACGAGGATCGAAGGCTACGGTGAAGTTCGGGAGGCTCGAGGTGAACTGAGACTTCGGCTGGGTGTTCGGCCGAAAGCAAAAAGGTCGCGACATTCCTGCCTCCTGCGGCTCTCTTTCACCTCCCCGCCCCGCGGCCGTCTCGGATCGCAGGGCCCTCAATGGAGTTGTGTGGCGCGCCGGCAGCAAGCGCGCGCGAACCCCTGCAAAAGGAAAGAGAACGCGCTCTCGTTGTTTTTCTTTTCTCTCTCTCTCTCTCTCTCTCTCTCAGCACGGGTTTCTCTATCTGCACATCGTGCCCCTGTGCATTCCATACAGCTACTAAAGTGCATTCCGCAGCCTCCGACGTCGATAACCATTGTGGGAGGCAGCGTGGCGCGGCCAGGCTGCCTCTTCCTGGCTGGTGGCGGGGGTGGGGGTGGGGCCGGGCTGCAGGCAGGGCTCACGGTGGGAGCCTTGGGTTCCCACCATGGGGGCCAAGGCCGCGGGCCACCGCCCAGAGCCACAGAGGCGCGCGGCAGCGGCGGGCGGCGGCCAGCCCAGACGGCCGTCCCGCGCGAGGGTGGCCGCCCCCACTTTCCCGGGACTCGAGGAAGAGGCGGCAGCCCTCCAAGCACGAGGGTTGCGGGGCCCCTTGCGCGCGGGAGCCCCTCCCCCCCCCCCCCACCCAGCGCCAGCGGCATGCTGGCCACGTCCGCGCGATCACCAGCGGCGCGCTGTCTCTGAGCAGGACGACGGGCACCAGCAGCAGCAGCAGCAGCAGGCCGAACAGCCCGCGGTACTTAGCAGCGCGGCGGGTGCTGGCAGCCGACGTTGACGCTGAGCCAGCACGACGGGCATTAGCAGCAGGACAAGGAGCTGGCATACAGTACCAAAGTTTCTTTGGCATCCTTCCCTTTCGGCCCATCCTTGGCCGTTTTCGCTGGCCGCGCCCCGCTCGCAAAGTGTCGACGTGGCCTTCCAAGGCCTGTGCATCCTTTTCGTGCGCCCTTACTATACGGGTGGGCTGTACTACAACGCTGCGCTGCATGACGTGTACCTGTTGCCGACGCGGACACTGAGCAGCGCGACGGGCACCGACACCCAGACGATGAGCAGCACCCTGGCATGTAGCACTGCAGCGCTGCTATGCGCGACCGATATCAATTGCCGATGTTGGCGTTGAGCAGCACAACAGGTACTGGCAGCAAGATGCTGAGTAGCACGGTGGCATGCAGAGCTGCGATGGACACCAAACGTGTTCTGCTGAGCAGCACGGCGGCAGCGCCACAACGTTGAGAAAATGCACGACAGATGCCATCTGCCCAAGCTGGCAGTCAGTAGCAGACGGGGCCAACAGCAGGACGTTGAGCAGCATTGTGGCATGCAGCGCCACGGTGCTGAGCTGCAGGACGGGTACTGGTTTCCGACGCCGACAGCGAGCAGCTTGACCTGACGGGGATCGGCAGTACGACGCTGAGCAGCACGGCGGCGTGCATCAGCACGACACCGACGATCAGGAATATCGGGATGGACTTTGCCACGTGTAGGCCGCATTGCGCTACCAGATGGACGAATCTCCCGACGAGTCGGAGGAGCGGAGGCGACACTGCCGCTGGAGAGGTGGCGCGACGGTGCCCCAGCCATCCGCCAGCACATCCAGGAAGAGCTGCGACGCGCGGCACCAGGCGGTTGAGGCAGAGGAGACAGGAGGCAAGGCGGCGCGGCTTGCCGACATTCCCTGCAGGGCGCGAGGCGGGCCAGCAGCGGCAAGGCCAGAAGAGCAGAGGTTTGTGAAGGCGGCTGAAGAGGTGCGCGGCGCTTGGCGGCGCTGTGCCAGACGCGCGAGGCCCCAGGTCGAGCGCCCTGCTGCCAGCGAGGCCAGAGGAGGCCGTAGGGAGGCGGCCATGCGAGCCACTTGGGTCCCGCCGGGGCGCCGATGACGCGAGGCGCCGATGGATCGCCGATCGTCGAGGGCCGGACCACCTCCACGCCGCCTGAGCGAGGCTGGTGCGAGGACGGCGCCGATGCATCGGCGATGCGGCGACGAGCTGCCTACTGGCAGGGCTTGCGGGCGGGCCGCTGCCGTGGGCGGCGCAGGAGGTGTCGGCCGGGTTCGGGGCCGTCGCGTGGCATTGCGCGGGCGCTCCGCCAAAAGGTGTACCGCTGATGGAATTATCGCTTTGCGATTTACGCGCCCTGGCGTTCATTCAAGCCTTTCCCACTCCATGCCTTCCTTTTTCCACACGCCCCTCAACCTCCACCGCCCCATCCTCGTCCTCGCCCCTCCCCCTCCACATCATCCCGAGGAGGAGAGGATGGATGTCTTCAATGGGGTCATGCCACCAGCTCGGAGGTCGACCGAGGAGGACGAGGATGAGGAGGAGGAGCCAGAAGGAGGAGGAAGAGCAGGCAGGAGGTGGAGAGGAGAAAGAGGAGAGAAGAACAGGGAGGAGGAGGAGGAGGAGGAGGAGGAGGAGAAGGAGGAGAAGGAGGAGGAGGAGGAAGGGGAAGAGGAAAGGAGGAGGAGGAGGAGGAGGAGCAGCAGCAGCAGCAGCAGCAGGGTGGGGAGAGAGAGGAGGCTGCCTCATCCTCTCCTCCCTCGAGGCGTGACCAAGTACGTCGGCCAATGGCGCGACGGCAAGCGGCACGGCAGGGGTCGCCTGACCTACGACCCCGAAGGGGAGGCGCACTACGACGGCGCCTGGGAGGACGCCCGACCCGGGGCCCAGGAGGTGGCAGGCGCCAGCGCCAAGAGAGTACCTCGAACCTCCAAGCTCGATCCTTGATCATCCTCCTTCCACAATTACTCAATATGAATACTACTCTCCCTCTTCCCCCGATGGCGGCCTGAAAGTAGCCGACCCCCCCCCCCGCGTCCTGTTTTTTTTACACTGGATTGCCGGGAGTTGGGTTTTCGCCTGCATTTTTTTCAAAATGCTGCTCTCGCCGAGGCGCCGGCCTCATTTTCGGGCCCCGCTCGTTCCGAATCGTGCTCCCGCTGCAGCGCTGGCCTCATTTCGGTGCTTCCGCTTGTTCCGAATCGTGCTCCCGCTGCAGCGCTGGCCTCATTTCCGCGCTTCCGCCCGTTTCGACTCGTGCTCCCGCTGCAGCGCTGGCGTCATTTCCCGTGCCATGCCACAGCACACGCGCACACACGCACACACACACACACCACCACCACCACCACCACCACCACCACCACCACCACAACCACCACCACCACCAGCACCACCACCACCACCACCACCACCAGCACCAGCACCACCACCACCACCACCGCCACCACAACCACGCACACACGCACGCACGCACGCACGCGCACCACCACCCACTAGTCCGCGGATAGAGAAAATCAGCGCCAAGGGATGGGAGGGAGAGGTAGGACGTCAGATATGACGCGCGCGCGCACCTAGCTTGCCTCCTCCCCCTCCCCCCCCTCCCCCACCTCCCCCTCCTCCCCCTCCCGCTCTGTCCCTCTGGGCGTCCGCGATGGGGATGAAGCACGGGACAGGGTCGGAGCATTGAGCTGCATTGCCGTTGCATTGGCGATGTGGCTCGAGGTTCAGATCGTCTTCTGGACGTCGACGGCGCCAGTGCATTGGCGATGCGGCGCGATTCTCCGACACCATCGGCTCGGACCCCATATGAGGAGCCTCCATTCGTCCGTTCCGAACAAGAGAGAGGGCAGCGAAGCACCTAATATTTGTTGCAACTGCGTGTGATGGTTGCTCTGCTGTCTGCTGGTGGTCTTTGGATCCAGCTCTGCGCGGTTATGCACCCTGACGCCTAGCAAAACAAACATACGGGTCAAATGGGCATACGGAAGATGACAACAATAAGATTGCACCCACCTGCCCCAGCGTGACTCCGCATGCATTGACGAGCATCGCCATCTGCGCAATCCTTCCCTTGAAGCAATACATAAACATCCTTTTCGAGATCCGCGCGGAGTTCCTCCATCGACCTTGGCCCCCCCGTGCCTCCAGAGCGGCCCCTGGCGCGCTCCGCGCGCCGGGGAGTAGGGGTCCAGCGCCGATGGGGGAAATCCGCGCGGACCTCCGAAGGTGTCTGTTCATGCTTGTCGGTCTGCTTTTTGTCAAAGGCGGGTCGGGCCCGCAGAGCTCTGGGCTTTCGCTCGCCTTCTGGCGACAGCGCTCCCCCGGCTGTTGCCCCAGTGCGGGTACTTCCGTGGACAGCCGAGCCGAGCCTAGCCCCTCTCCCCCTCCATGGCACATCAAACAAGAAAACACAAGACAGCTCGCCGCTGGGGCCCCACCGCCAGCCCAAACGGCGAGCATCAATCGGGCGTAGCCCCGCACGCATTCGAATGCCCACACTTCGTCCTCGTACTACTCGTATTCCTCCCCGTCCTCCCCATCCTGATCGTCGTCGCCGTCCTCCTCCTCGTCCTCCTCCTCATCCTCCTCGTCTTCCTCGTCTTCCTTCCGCTCCAGCTCGGTTTCCTACGGGTTGCGCCATAGGTTGCGCCATCGGCGGCTGAGAATGCAACCGTCTCCGATCGGTTGCGCCAAAGGTTGCGCAGTCGGCGGCTGAGAATATAACCGTTTCCAATCGGTTGCGCCATAGATTGCGCCCTCGGCGGCCGAGAATACAACCGTCTCCCATCGGTTGCGCCATAGGTTGCGCAGTCGGCGGCCGAGAATAAAATTGTCTCCTATCAGTTGCGCCATAGGTTGCGCCCTCGGCGGCCGAGAATAAAACCGTAGCGTAACGGGTGCGACCATTCTGTTCAGTTCGGTTCAGTTCAGTCACTCTACCTAGCGAGAAACAAATCCGGGCTACGCCCGAAATCATCCTGTTAGAAGGTGCCCCACAAAACATGATTATCCCCGTATGGCACTTCATAGGCGTCAAGCATCAACGAACGACGTGCCCGACGAACTCGTATAGCAAGATTTCGTATCGTATGTGTCGACTGCTCCCCTCCGTAAGCGTGCTTTTGTTTTCCCAGTTTTCGAGGGTGGATCTGGATTTGACGCTGATTCCAGTCGTGCTGTCAGGTGCGGTTGGGGAGTTGGATGCCTTGGGGTCGAGAGCCACGTCCAAGCTGGAACGCGTGGCTACTCTCACACTGATTGTGCAATATGTGCCTGAGCTGAGCTGTATGCATGTTTGCTTTTTATCTGTGTCACGGTGGTCTGGACCATCAGGGCTTCGGTTAGTTTGATCGCGGCTACCAGTTGGTATTCGATTCGTTGCTTCGGTCTGAGGGTAAACATGTGATGGAAACGCTGTCTGATGAGATGTATCAACTTCAAGTTGTCAAGGTGCGTTTTTATCAGACGTACGATAGCTTTTTTGGTGAGTACCTTTTCTTAAGGCCACCGGAAGACCCTAAGCCGACTCGTCTGCGAAGCGAGATGCGCGGTTGTTCCCTCAGGAGTCGCATCCCGAGACGTGGGTCTAGCAAATTTAATTGTTAATTCGCAATTGCTTTTCAATTACATTGGTCGGGTGATTGCGCATTGTTAGTCGGAGTTCAGTCTGTCCAAAGTCCTGGGGATGATCCGAGATTCTTGGTTTGTCCTTCCAGTTAACGTTGGTGGGCCCTGCGGAGAGGACTCCTCACTTCGTATCGCAAGAGCCGCCACCAAAAGATCCTGCTGATCTCCCAGTAAAAACCGACGGGTGCTGACAAAGCAGCAATGTCCCATGCCATGGGGGTTGAGTCATCTTGCGGGTTTTCGGGCTGGTTGGGGTTGTGTTCAAACCGGCTTGGGGTCGCCAGGGGGGCTGGTTGGGACCCTGAGCATCTCGGGCCGTCTCGGGGTCAGAGGCCTTCGTGCGGCCATCGGCGGCGTAGACGCGTGGGAAGCAAAACAAAAGACAACGATTATCTGCGTTTTCACCAAGCCAGCCTTGTAGCATATTTCAGACGTTTTGAGGGTGTCTGAGACTACTGCGTGGCTGCACGAGGAGATAGCCGCAGAGCAAACCTAGAGATGGTCAGGTCCGGCACGGGTATCGGAGGTTGGGGGGTGAGATCGCAGTGAAACGGAGACCCCCCACCGAGAAATCGGTTTCGGTTTCGTGTTCGTGTCGTGCGTGCGGGCGAGGCGAAGTTGCGCGTGATCGCGTAATCCTCCTGTAGCTAGGCCGAAGTAGGAGCGAAAGTCCGTTTCCCGTCCGCCAGTGGCTGGGAGGTGTCCCAGTTGGGCCGGGCGGTGTCCCGGGTGTCCCGGGTGTCAGTAGGAGCGAAAGTCCGTTTCCCGTCCGCCGGTGGCCGGGAGGTGTCCCAGTTGGGTTGGGCGGTGTCCCGTGGTGTCCCGTGGTGTCCCGTCGGGTGAGATCGATAGTGAGATCGATAGTGAGGTCGATCTTGAGATCGATGTGGTGCCCCGAGGTGTCCCGTGGTGTCCTCAAAAGTGAGATCGATAGTGATATCGATAGTAAGATCGACAGGTGCCCCGTCGTGTCCCGTTGGGTGAAATCGATAGTCAGATCGATACTGAGATCGATGTGGTGCCCCGAGGTTTCCCGTGGTGTCCCAAAACGTGAGATCGATAGTGAGATCGATAGTGAGATCGACATGGGTCCCGCGGTGTCCCGTGGTGTACCCAAAAGTGAGATCGATAGTGAGATCGATGTGGTGTCGATGTGGTGTCGATGTGGTGTCCTATGGTGTCCCGCTGAGTGAGATCGATAGTGAGATCGATACTGAGATCGATAGTGAGATCGAGAGGTGTCCCGCGGTGTCCCGTGGTGTCCCGTTGAGTGAGATCGATAGTGACATCGATAGTGAGATCGACAAGTGTCCCGTGGTGTCCCGTTGAGTGAGATCGATAGCGAGATCGATTGACTCAGATGTTGGTTCCCCCCTTCTCCCCCCCCACAACCTCCTTATCACCCGAAGGGTGGTCGTATAGGTTCCACAACGTTCGTTCATGAATCGGAGGTTGGGGGGTGACATCGCAGTGGAACGGAGACCCCCAACCGGGAAATCGTTTCGTTTCGTTCGTGTCGCGCGTGCGGGCGAGGCGAAGCTGCGAGGGCGCGCGAGAGGAGTGGACCCGCCGCTGCTAGGGCGAAGTCAAGACAAATGATTAGCCCCCGCCCGTCTGGCGGTGGCTCGCGGTGTCCCGCGGTGTCCCGTGGTGTCCCGTTGTGTTCCGTGGTGTCCGCCGTTGCTAGGGCGAAGCCAACACAAATGATTCTCCCCCGCCCGCCCGTCCGGCGGTGGTTCGCGGTGTCCCGCGGTGTCCCGTGGTGTCCCGTGGTGTCCGCCGCTGCTAGGGCGAAGTCAAGACAAATGATTATCATCCGCCCGTCCGTCCGTCAGTCCGTCCGGCGGTGGCTCGCGGTGTCCCGCGGTGTCCCGTGGTGTCCCGTGGTGTCCCGTGGTGTCCCGTTGAGTGAGATCGATAGTGAGATCGATACTGAGATCGATACTGAGATCGATGTGGTGTCCCGACGTGTCCAGTGGTGTCCCGTGGTGTCCCAAAAACTGAGATCGATAGTGAGATCGACAGGTGTCCCGTGGTGTCCCGTGGTGTCCCGTTGAGTGAGATAACTAGTGAGATCGATATTGAGATCGATATTGAGATCGATGTTGTGCCCCGAGGTGTCCCGTGGTGTCCCAAAAAGTGAGATCGATAGCGAGACCGATAGTGAGAGCGACAGGTGCCCCGTGGTGTCCCGTTGATTGAGATCGACAATGAGATCGATGGTGAGATCGATGTGGTGTCGC